ACTATTCTTAAAAGAGTGCTCAATACAAAGTAGAGCAGATATAATTATTTATTAAAAAAAAAATTATAACATAAATATGCTATAAAATCACTACAAAAATAGCCATTTTGTTTTAACACCCCAGATGGCTATTTTTCTAGTGATTTTAGAACATATTTATGTTATAATTTTTTAAAAATAAATAATTATATATATATATATATATATATATATATATATATATAAAAGAGAAACCATAAAACATTTTTGGTTATAATATGGCTTTTTTTAAGATATATATACTTTATGTTCCATATTTTTGTTACACGAGTTTCTGGTCTTGAAACCTTCATCAGGCAAAGAGTGGATATTTCTACATAATTTTCCTTATGTTTTTCGATGTTTAACTATTGTATTTTTTGTGTAATAGTAATATTAAATGAAAATATATTGTTTCCGATTCCTTCTAAAATCAATTTCAATTCTATACTCTAACGCCTCCGCATGAACTCTGACATTATATCTACTATTATATTTACTATTTATCTATGTTTTTCCTTCTCAGTAGTAGATTGGTGCATCCGGTTCACACTCCCCGTGGTCATTTGGACAGGAGTTGAGTTTTATTCCTTGTTCCCTATTCAGGATTGAGTTTCCGGATCCGTTTTTCATTCTTTTTCACTTCCAGTAGCCCCACTTGCGTCTTAGGGGCATTATCGCCTTGCTTGAGAGTAACTGATTAAAAAAATACTATATTTTCGGGAAAAAATAGCTCAGTATCCGTGATATAGCATATGTAAATATAAGAGTGGATTATAAACCACGGAGAGACCCCTGTGGATTCAAACACAAATATGCCTTAGTAGGTTTCTGCAACAGCAGCGAGGGTGTGCTCGGCCATTATTATAATTATTATTATTAATATTGTTGGAAGTTCTCCTCGAGAGGATTAGGATAATATTAAAAACGTAATATTTGCATTTGGTTCCACAATTCTGCAGTTTGATTTCACTGAATTCAAGGCTCGAGACCAACTGAAGCTCGAGTGTTATTGATTGTGCCTTGTGATATGAATATAAGAGGAACTGGAAGTAAATGAAAATTATGAAGACATGAAAAATGCATAACGATAGATTTGAAAAGGTGGATTTTTTGTGTCTAGGGAAGCATTCAGGCGGGAGTAATTTCCCCCCTGTAGCAGATTTTGTACTTCCTCTTTACAAATGGTATACGGAGGAAATGACAGTGAATCGACTTCGTGGATGTAGCTTGGTGTATATAGCTGTAAATAAAGAACAAAACTAAATGCTTTCTACATACTATTTTTCTTGGGTTTAATCTTCATTCTGGGGATACACATAATTCTTCTTTTTACTTATTTATTATGTTTCGTTTCTATTCTTGACTTACATCACTGTCTCGTGTAGTTGGCTCTCTTCATTATTTCTTTGACATTATCAGGCACTGCATCAGCCAGTTCTATTCCTGTTCTGTGTCTGGAAATTGCCTGACTTAGCATCAACGTTCCTTTTCAATCAGTTGTACAAATATAGAATGCCGGGGACGAGAAAAAATATATTTGCCTGTTAGAAACGCTGAAGTAAATATGACCATGTGGTTAAGTCCGATTCTTGCTTCATCTAAAGTTTGACACTAGTTCGTTACAATATTTTTCTTAGTTTCTTTGAAAAGATCTCGGTGCTTACATCGATTATTATCACAGACTTCCGTTCTGACAAAATGCCCCACCGCCCATAATATTTACGACATTTCACAGTCTCTATCTCTGAGATAAGGTACCATGATTACTTGCATTATTTGCATTACTCGGACCGTTATCCTCATCTTCATTGCCATATTCACAAAGTTTCGGCCTTCAGGTGATTAGAATTTTGAACCGAAAGCTTTATTTCGTTCACCGTAGTAGATTGCTCTAGTTCCACGTGCCATGCCTCTTCCGGCTGTCTGGCTTAACTCCCTTTAACTCAACCCTCAAAGTTTTGGTTCACCACTGCAATGGCCTCCCAATGAACTCCCAATTCTTTCGGGCTAGTCACTGGATCTAACCAGCGACTTTATCCATGCGTCTTTGAGAAGTTAAGAGGCATAGCACGTGGAACTAGAACAATCTATCTTTGTGGTTCTTTGTCACCAATCCTTCTTTCGTCATTACGTGCCCATAATTATCAACCTTTTTTCTTACACTATTTACATTTAAATTATTCGGACTATTGCCCTCATCTTTGTCGCTATGTTTATCACAACATTTCGGCCGTTGTACGCTCCGGCCATCTTCAGGTGGTTGGAATGTCGGACTGAACCCTTTATTTCGCTCACTGGGGTAGACTGTTCTAGTTCTACGTGCCATGTCTACGTGCCATGTCTAATGGATGTCAGTTATCTCCTGTTAATCTCAAAGTTCTCCACCGCCTTAACCGGGTATTGAACTCACACTCTTTGGGTCCTGTCACTGGATCTTACTAACGATTTTATTCACTGTGCCATGTGTCCTTGAGGACATCTGTGTATGAATTTCTGGGTATTAGAAACCTAATGTCTTCAGCAATCGCTTTTTACCAATACTGATATTGCAATTTTTGATGTTATCATTGCTTTTTTTTTTACCAGAGCTCATATTGCAATTTTTGTTGTTTTTATAGCTTTTCTCTGGCACTCCTTATTACTGGTTCCCATAGTGTATTCATTTCTAGCTTTGGTCGGCTCAGGAGATTTTTGTGTTTTTTTTTTTTATTTGTAGTATAATATCCTTTTGGTTTCCATTAAAAATTCAAGATGTGATATTAGAAAATACTAAACACTTCAAATACCTTGTGTATGGATAAGTTAGATCAAATTTAGTACAGAAGAATCGGAAGTAAACCCTGAGGACTAATCAGGAGCCGGGGTCCCTAAAGTAGTCCGATGTTATGTTCAGTTTCGTTCAGGCAATTCCTACGACGATGCCAGTGACAAGCCGTATTAGCCTCTGCTTTTCCCTTGGACAACATCGGTGGCGTGGAGAGGTGGAAACTGTGTTAGAGGTAGTTTCACCGACCACAAATCATTACAAAACCGAAACATTAGCCTGAAACCTCGAGTTTTTTTTTCTTAAATAGCCTCGTCAGATCGAAATCTTCATATGGATGTTAGAAATAACTAAATTATCAGCTGTATAAAATCGCTTTCTGAGATTCCGTGAAAAATAGATTCCAACGAGTGAATCCTATGGATCGTGGTGAAGCCGACTCTTCTTTGAACATTGTGGACTGGCGCTACATAATCGCAAGCAAAGAACTGTACTAGATAACAAAAAGCACATTACCCGTGAACTTTCAGCAAAAGCAACACCTAAAACTGATAAACTCGAACAGAAGCCAGTGACGTAAGATGTTGACGTTCCACACTACTTCAAATGAAAGGTTAGGAAGGAAACCTCCATCAATACTGGAAAGAATGATAACAAATCCGGAACATGAGATTGTTTTAAGACAAAGATTTTATAAATTTTAACTGACTGCAGTACTAACTGCTTGGTCAATGAATGCTAAGAAAGCTTTATAAGAAAACGTTTAATATCACTACCATTAGTATTACTTAAAACGTTCTACTTCCTAACAGATTCCGTCCCTGATATTCCCAGCATCCTTCTGTAGAACAATATCTATGCAGCCTTAAGTCTCCTCTTCACATATGAAGAGATTTTCTAGTATTCATTGCCATACAGGAGTTACGTTGTCTCCCATATTCTAATCAATCCAATGTTAAGTTACTTTCATGATAGTCACTAATAAGCATAATATCTTTACGTTGTTATCTTATTTTTTGTATTTGACGCGCCAGTTGTCTAGTGCTTATGGTAACTTTCAAAAGCCCGGAAGTATGAGGCATCTAGTGAGGATCGAACTCACTATTCCTTCGTAAATGATTTAGCTAGAGAAGCTTGCTTACCCATTACACCACGTCCAGTGCCCTTGAACAGTGGTTATGATAAGTAAATGAATGATAGCAAATCTACCATCTCCAGAATCTTTCTCAGTCTCCGCTTAGAGTCCAGCTAGGCCCAACAAAACGTTCTATTGAATTTCGAGTTCATACGTACTCACCCCCAATCTTTTAAGCCTGCCTATGTCAGGCGTCCTGATAAAAATACTTTCCTTGGTTCCACCACTGCTGATCCTTGCAGGTGGGACTCGCAATTCCCCGTACACAGGGATGAATCACCCTCATTTGTTTCGAATTTCATTAGTAAGGAAGAAGTTCCACTGACAGCTTCTGCTTTGTGCAACAGTCCCCCGAGAAGATGCTTTCCAGATCGCTACAAATTTACCCTCTGCAAGTCTAGGGTTAACCGTTATCTTTCCTATATAACGTTATAAACTGCCCTTCTCATCTCTTCTTACTCTCATACAACATCATAGACTAACCCACTACCTTTAGTGACTCTTGGGATTCACGGCTAAGAACCACCATTCCACGTACATTCTAGTGAACAACCCTTATTCTCTTCGTATTCCACTGGTGAGATGTAAGTTCCCCTCGAGCAGCTTTTTCCGACGAATCGCTGCTTTGACTCACAAGAGGATGTTTCCCCGATCACTATAATCCATACGTGTTTAAGTGTAGGTTCAACCGTTATCTTCCCCATATATCCGCATAAAGTGTTCTGTAACACTCTATCTTGAGTGGCTCTCGGACTGTGAACAAACAGTAAATAAAAAAAATCGCTATCGATTATAGACGTGATACTACTCTTCAAATTCCACAGTTTCCACATCTTTCGGGCAAGTTCCTGGTGCCTTACCAAATTTACTTCGGCCCACAAGCGATTCTTTCTTTGTTTACGACGATCATATCCAATTCTTTTTGATTGCATGGTTTAATTGCGCTGGATATCAACACCTCGAGGTGGAAGTTCCTCTTTTTCAATTTTCTAAAACAGTCTATGGTTTCTGTTAATATCATTTTTTGACACAACTAAATACAAATCATTTGAACAGTTCCCAATGATATATTGTTCCCGCTTACGGCCATATCGCGTTGCAAGACCGGTTCCCGTACGATCACCGAAATTAATCAACATGGTTAGTACCTAGATGGGTAACCACTTGGAAATGCCAGGTGCTGTAAGCTTTGATGTGCGGGTGTGGTAATGGATAATGGCTAAGGTTTGCTAATCGGAGAATCGAGTTTCAATTCCAGTTGAGTTGGTTATATTCACTTAAGTGCAAATCCTTGTATTGTTTTCTCTCCTTAATAGTGTTTTTTTTCCCATATTCGCTAACACTTATTAACCCTTTGCATCTTAGTTTCTTTTTTGCCTTGCTTGCGGTGAAATGATTACAAATATTGTAGACAAGAGGGACAACAGTGAGTAACGCGATTAACGTGTAAATGGATGACAGCACATAAACAGGGAGGGGACAGACATTGCTACAACGGATAGGAATTCGCGGAGAGCCACGATCACCTATCACACATAAAATAAAAAGTGACGAAAATAAGGTATATTGTATTGTGGGGGATTCACTCATATTATAGCAGCAGAAATTAGCCTTGTGCACACGAAGATAAAAGCATACTTGACACGCAATAAATGTACACGAATAACAAGAAAAGCATGGTAAATTGTATGTTAATTTCATACAATTTATTTATATTTTTATATGTATTGGGGTGTGTATTTTTTTTTAGCTTACAATTGTTTTATGGTACAGGTGATAAAAGCGAGAAATTACTCCGTGTAGTTATACGTACCAAGGTTCGTGGTGAAGGGATTGAATTTAACGTCTTTGGGCGGGATGTCCGTATTTTCGGAAGGAAATTTTTGTTCCATGTTGGGAGTATTTTTATTATGTTTTATTTTTATTTAATCTATTTTATACAGTATTTTTGATATTGTTTTATTTTATTTTATTTATAATTTTCATTATCATTATTTTATATTTTATTTTTATTTATTTATAATAATAATAATAATAATAATAATAATAATAATAATAATATCCCTAAAGTATGCATACACTAACAAAGTTCCAAGCGCAAACCTTTTTAGACGAATTGGATTTTACACTTGTTTTCTGAACAACGGGCACAAAAGACGAAATTTAAGTTCTTGTTTAATAAAATTAATTTCATGTCAATACACACAGACAAAATTGTCATTTATATGACATTGGCAGTCCTAATTTATGAAGTGACAGTAGGTTAAATTTAATACCGTGCAAAATAAAGTTAGCGAACCGAGTTCAATATCTGTGTAAGAAAGTTTATAATCACTTCGCAATAAATACCCTTCTTCAGCTTCTGTTTAAATAGCAGGGTATACTGGCTCTCTAGCCTTGATGCGGTAATCAGTCTAAATGAACGAGAAAACGCAATTAATGAAAATAAATGGATATAACTACAGGGAAACCCTTCGCTATCCTATGACCAGTTATACTAGTGCACAATTTCAGAGATTAAAAAGAAAAAGAAGCTGTGGAAAGCTATGGTCATCTATATCCTGAAGGTCATGGAAATTCAAAATTTTTAGACCTGTTAGATAGATATTTATATATTTCCTTGTTGTTTGAACCAAGAATATATATATATATATATATATATATATATATATATATATATATTATGGGGACCTCCCCTGTTAGCATCTACGCGGACGACACTACAATTTACTCCTGCCTTAAAAGCAAATCTAGTGTCGGTGACAAAACTAACCTGGCCGTGCGTCTTGAAATGGACCTCCAATCGGTTGTTAATTGGGGCGAGAATTGGCTGGTCAACTTTAACGCCACAAAAGCTAAACTACTCTCTATTAATCACCATAGAGATACTTCCCTGCCCCAC